GTGGAATATTGTGTCCTTTGTTGTTGGAAACCACAGTGTCGTCAGAAGACTGGGAAGACGACCGTGCGTTCTCTTTTTGAGGTAAAGATTGCGGTGATAGAAGTGTTGCAGCCGGTGACTTTGGTCGAACTGGACTGCTTGATGGCTTGCGTTGTTTTTCTTTCCGGGCGTTGCTGCTGTTGTAGTTCAATTCGACTGGTTTCCGGGCGGATTGAAGAGATGCAAGGCACTCGTGGCTTACTCCATTCCTGTCTCCCCGAACATCCACTCCCAGTGTTGGGAGGGGGGACGTTACTACACGATCATCCTCCTCTCGTGGAGGGTGTCCGTAGGACGGACTGAAAGAGCTTGAACAGGCTTCGTCGTTTTCGATAAAGATGTCTCCGTTTTGCTTAGGTGGCACGGCATTTTCACTGGGACCTGGATTGGTGGAGAAGAAATTGGGATTTGACTGCTTTTTAGGTGAGCCATATGTAATGGTACTTGCCCGGAGATGCGAGCAGTCCACGTCAACTGCCGCCAGAGGCTCATCGGAAGAATCCGGAACATCCCTGGTCGGGGTCGACATGGAAGGCCTCGCGCTTGGCGAATCGAGAGTTCTAGTTGATGTCCTGTTGGATGACGATGTACTATTGTATTTGCGGAAAAGCTTAGGTGGCTTGGAATTTCCGTTGTGACCTGAGTTGTTGGAGAAGGGTTTGGGATTTGACTGCTTTTTGGATGAATCATACGTAGGGATACTTGCCCGGAGATGGGAGCAATCCACATCGACTGCCGCCAGAGGCTCATCGGAGAAATCCGGAACATCCCTGGTCAGGGTCGACATGGAAGGCCTCGCGCTTGGCGAATCGAGAGTTCTAGTTGCTGTTGTCCTGTTGGATGATGGTTCACTGTTGATTTTGCGGAAATTATCGTAGGCGACGGAGTTGGAGACTGTTGAGGATGGCAGAGGCTGCAGCTTCAATTCGACGGCGGCCGAGCTGGAAGTTTGGGTATCAACGGGTTGGAGGAAGTCGTCCCAGACCCCCTCTCTTGCCAGCATCGCTTCCTTTTTTGGAAGTGAAGGGGGTACTACACTTTCCCCGCCTTCGAACCGGATTTCTCGTTGAATGTTGGAATCGAGCGTTGTATTCAAACGTTGTCCTGAGTTATATTCCATGTCGATATTGCCGGGGTCTATGCGTGTGCTGATTGATGGGTGTTGTTCGTCCGTTCTCATGTCCATTTTTGTCGCGGGGTCAATTATAAGGAGGGTCAATGTTGATTTTTTGGTAGGTACTTGTTCCATCATTCGTCCATACTAATCGTACTGCTCAGTGTGTCAGGCTGGGTTGATGGACGCTTACCCCGATTGTTGCTTGTGTCGGTTGGAGATATCTCAATAGGGCGTTTTCCGCTTCTGCTCCGAGTTCGTATTCCTTGGTCACGATCATAACTCCGGTTATCTTTCCAGTTAGCTGGTGGCGGGATGGAGGCTTTCTCTTTCCTAGACAGACGTGAATCGGTTTTTTGTGATGACGCAGCTAACTGAATTGGTGTGGAAGATGGGTTCTGTGTTGATGATTTGGGTTGGATGGTTGTGCGTGGTGGTTGTGGGGCTGGGGAATGGCTATGGGTGCGAGATCTTAACACAGAAGTTAATGAAGCAACCTGCTTTGCTAAATCGTTCACTTGCTTCTGTAGGTTGGCTATCAGTTCGTCCTTGGCAGCTAGTTCTTGCTTCAGTTGGTCTTGGACAATACGAGAAAATGATTCCTTTTTATTTTCTTCAGCGTATATGCGTCTTGCTTCAGCAAACGAAATACACTGATTGACTTTTATGTGGACAATTTTGTCCTCCTCCTTGTATTTTGGGCAGTCACGTGACGTGACTGAATGCCCGTTTCTGCAATGGAAACAGTGAGGTGGATTATCACACTGCTCACCGTCAGCCAAGTGAAGAGGTTGAGAGCATTGCATGCAGACGCTGGTTTGTTTGCAAAATTTGCGAGGATGGCCGTAAGCGCCGCAGTTAAAGCAGATCATAGGTGATGGATAATATGGGCGTACTGCGATTCGCACCATACTGAAGTACACATATTTTGGTAAGACCGACCCATGGAATGAAATAACCAGTAGAGGAGTATTCTGTAGTTTGCCGTTAACTCGCTTCTTAATACGTCGAACTGCGTGTACACCTTGCGACCTCAAATTTTCCTCAATTTTTTTCTCATCGGTATTGGTGCAGTCCGGATCATAGACGGTTCCCTGTATTGTGTTGAGCGTAGGATGAGAGATAATTTCAATTTTTGACCCATCGGTGAGTTCCGTCATTTTGGTCAGCTTTTCGACGATCGTTCTCGAATTAGTGCGGAGAAGATATCGTGATCCACGTCCTTCACGGGTAGCTTTCACGGTTTTGGCTTCCTTTACACCGATTGCCACTTCAACTGATGCTCCTACGATGAAGGGATCAGGGAGACGAGATTCCTGATTCTGCTCAGGATCGTTAATTTTCCGCTGCAACACTAGAACCATAGTTTGGCCCATCTCATCTTCACCCCGCATCCATTCAGGAATTCTTCCATCGCCTGGGTCTGGGGGGACCCCGGGTGGGGTGGAGGAGCTGCCGGTCATTTGACCGGAGCTCAGTGACACTTTTCCAAATTCACTTCACTTTGACGATTTTTCGCGACCAACAAACGGGAACCGATTTTCGACACTTTTCAGTTCACACTGCCGCTCGGGACACACTGTTCAGTTCGTTCCTCAATGGGCACTATCACAACGATGTGTGTATTGGTGTCGTTATCAGCTGCAGCCACCGCGTGATATTCGCACTAAATGTTTATCACTTTGCAACACTTTCGTTTGGAATCTAACGAAAAATTCACTTTAGCTGAGAAAGCACCACCGAATACAATCATATGACCACTGACCGTCGTATTATTAGTCAGTGCTACTAAGCAAAAAGATCAATTCCAATTAGAGCAACTCGCGCGTGTTGATATACAACCGTAACCCGATCACTCGAATGATGGCTACTAAAGTGGTGAGCCAATTTAAAATCGTTAGTTTCGTATTGATTGTTGCTACTACTGGATTGTACTAGCATGTTCACCAAATGTATTAGAATGTTTTGGTTCTATCTCTTTCACTCTACTCAAAACTAAAATGCATAAAAAAATGACAAAATGATACACTCTTTGCACACTGTCAAAAAATCATTGTACACAAAATCAACTTTGTTCAAATCAAAACAAAAAAACTAACCCATCTGGTGGATGATGGCACAAGCTTTCAAGAAAATTCTATTACAGTGAACCACATTATTTTAATGGATTTCTTCGCCAGTTAGTCGTCTGTCACTTCGTTTGTGGTTTTATTATAATTACTTTTTTTCGGGTATATTCCAAATAAATACTTACATTTCAATACTCATTGTATTAGGCACAGATGGCATAAAAAATCAATTTTGAAGGCCTCGTAAGATGCTTTGGATCAGACAATATTCACTATTGATTAAGATAATTTTCACCCAATAATGGGTAAAATAATACTCATTTTTCTTCCCCGAAGAGGTCAATAAGATGGGTCCTAAAGAACCCATTTTCAAAAATATTCAATTACCCATTATTTGACAGCTTCATATACTTACTAATAATGGGTACTTTTATACCCATTATTGGGTACTTGCAAGTTACAGTACGCTATTTCAAACTGCCAAATTTATGTTGAATCCACCAAGATCGGTTAAAACTGAACCTAACCAAAAATGGGTAAACTGTGTTGGGAGTGACAAGTTGACAAATGAACAACATTGGCACGAATCCGATCGACGTTGTTCATTTGTCAACTTGTCACTCCCAACACAGTTTACCCATTTTTGGGAAGGTTCAGTTTTGACAGATCTGGGTGGATTCTACCCAAATTTGGTAGTTATGAAATAGCGTGTGTACTACGTAAATAATTTAAAGGCCTGCGCACAATGGATGTTTTAAAAAAAAACCCGGATTATCATTAAGGCTCTGAACCATTTGGTGGATTATTTTAACTTTTGGTTAAAATTTGACAGATGAAAAGTTATCGATTAACCCTGCTATCCGAGCATGGTTATTTCTGACCGACAAGAAGTTAAATTTTGACAACCGTGGCTCGAAAACCGGTCGATCGACAGCACGGGGATTTTCGAACATAGAAAATAACTTTCGAAATGTCACTTTTAACCACGAGTTAAATTTAACTCGGCAAATGGTTCACAGCCTAAGGCTGTGTTCCATTTGGAAAATTTTCACTTAGATTTGACACTTCGAAAATAACTTAAGATGTTCGAAAATCCCTCTGTTGTTGATCGGCCGATTTTCAAGAAAGCGTCTGTCAAAATTTATTCCTTGTCTGTCAGAAATAAGTCTGCTGGAATAGCAGGTTTATTTGAAAATTTTCCATTTAAGTAAAAATTCACCAAGGCTCTGAACCATTTGGTAGATTATTTTAACTTTTGGTTAAAATTTGACAGATGGAAAGTTATCGATTAACCCTGCTATCCGAGCATGGTTATTTCTGACAGACAAGAAGTTAAATTTTGACAACCGTGGCTCGAAAACCGGTCGATCGACAGCACAGGGATTTTCGAACATAGAAAATAACTTTCGAAATGTCACTTTTAACCACGAGTTAAATTTAACTCGGCAAATGGTTCACAGCCTAAGATTATCTGTCAAAAAATCCGGAAACTTATGCATTGTGCGCCAGCCTTAAATCCCCTTCTGTGCTGCGCATGCTGCGATCAAGTTGAGGACGTGTTGGTTTTTAAAAATAAATCAACTTTCTGTTAACCTAGTTCGGCGAATTTTCACCGCTTGTAAGTTTTCTGATGTGTGTATTCGTCATAGAGTTCCTAATTTCTGTTCTTTTACCAGTCGTCTAACACAGATATTAGTATTCAGTCCGCTAAGCACAAATCAAACCCGACCTCAAAAGGGAGTTCGAAAAAAAAAATCGATTGAAACTGCGCTTTGAAAATGTGGAACCCGCACATTATCGCTAAGCTCCTTGCCAACGAGCAGCAGCAGCAGGAGTTTCAAGATGATAGCAAAATGTTCATGCAGCTGCCGATCACCCGCTACTTGATGGAAGCGTTTACCAAGAATCCTCATCTGGCAGATGGTGATATGTTTGGCTGTCGAGACTACGTCCAGCGCAATGTACCACGGATGGTAAGTGAGGAGGAAGAGCGGAACGCAGATTTACCCAAATGCAATGTCCGGGCTGCCAAGGCCCGACAGGAAGGGAACAAGTTGTATCAGAAAAAGAACTACCTGGATGCACTGGAGAAGTACAACGAAAGCATCTGCTGGGCCCAGATTGACTCAGAGGATCTGGCGATTGGGTATGCTAATCGGTAAGTTCAAGGACGGTAGGCGGATCTTCAAAAAGGTTAAACCTTTTTTTTTTCTTTTCAGATCGGCTATCTACTACGAAAATAAAGAATACGAATTTACCATGGCCAATATTGCTCTAGCCAAGAGGCACAAATATCCGGAACGGTTGATGCCGAAGTTGCAAGCCCGGGAACTTCTCTGCAAGGGTAAGATCGACGCCGGTGAACACAAAAGTTCTACACCATGTCCGAAGCTGGTTCTTAATGTTGAAGTGAACCCCAAAATCCCTTTCGTGGCACAGGGAATTGCGATGAAGAAACTTCCACATTTTGGAAGGAGCATGGTGGCTGAGATAGATTTCAAGGCGGGCAGTGTGATTCTGTGCGAGAAACCCATGATGGTTTCTATAAGTCCGGAAGCAAAGTATAAAGTATGCCAGTCCTGTTCGTCGGAGAACTTTTTGTCGTTAATCCCATGTCCGCATTGTGTATCCGTAATGTACTGCAGTGAAGAGTGCTGGAAAAAGGGTTGGGAGGTTGGACATCGGTTCGAGTGTGGAATATACGACAAACTGGCTAGCATGCCGTTCGATGAATGTAAAATGGGGCCAAAGATGCTCTTCTATGGATTGACATTGTTCAATGACGACGTGAAGAAGATGAGGAAGTACTGTAGATCACACGGTCGAACCGGAAGTAATCCATTCGATTTGGACTACACCAAGGAAAATCCTCTGGATGCATTCAAGGTGTTCCATACGGCCAAAATGCAACCCCGTGTACACACTCTGGACAACGTTTACCGGTTGGTTACGGCGATCTTGTACACCATCTACATCCAACAGCCTTTGATTCGATCGCTCTTCGTCACCAAAACGCAACAAAACTTTCTGTTGAAGTGTATCTTTGAATATTCAACTGTGGTCAATCGTCTGATCGTTGTACGGGAGCCCTCCATTGATCTACTGCACACGGTTGCATCCGTATGTAATCACTCCTGCGACCCAAACACTCACGTTATGTATCGCTCGTCCCAACTGAAGTTCGTTGTGATTCGTCCAATCTGCAAGGGTGAGCAAATTTGCATCTCGTATGGTCCCATCTGGGGAGAAACGTCCGCCTACGAACGGTATAGGAAATTGTCCATATTTGAGATTGACTGCGCGTGCGTGGTGTGCAATCCGAATACGTTCCAGAACTTGCTGATCAATAACAAGCAACTCCGCCCGCCTTCCACAACAATTTCTGTGTAATGAAGAAGGTGCTGCTGAACGAGACCTTCAGCAACGCGGACAAGATGAATGCTCTGCAGCAATTCATTCAACGGTACGGGCTACGTCCATCCGCTGCATCTGTTTCGGCAAATTCTGATCATGTATCGTGAGGGACTTTCGGTGGTCTTCGCAAACGAGGTTATGTTTGCGATGCGGGAGAGAATCTTCGCCAGTTTGAATTTATTTTAATGTTGTTTCTTACTACTTCATGACTCGTTTTATTTTATTGAATTCTCATGTTTTTTTTTTTAATTTAACTCTTGTTTGCTCTTGTTTTTTTTTTTTAATTTAACTCGACAAATAAATGCTTGAACATCGTTTTCTTTCCCAAATTGGTCCTGTTCGTTCATCATCAATCAACCTTCGATTCAAGCCATATCTGGAACTAGTCGACATTGCCTGCGATTCCAATGTAACATCGACAAGTTTGTTGATTTGATACTCTCCTCCCCTCCCTGTGTCTCGATACTTATTACACGAACAGTAACCCTTCCGTAAATGCGGTGGGTGGTACCGTACCATAATCTAAATTTCTGCTCTTATTCGGGTGCGATTAAGGGTGACCTGTGAGTAGTGGGGTCCGGGTCCGGGATGCGTGGACCCGTCCGGGGTTCAGTGGAACCGGTGATAATTTGTGATATTAGCGTTGTTTTGTAGTTTCTGCCACTGGTCCTCATACCGGTTTCTTTCTACGTTCGGTGTCGGAGGAGGATCCGGAACGGATTCAGAATCCATTTCGGATTTTCGTTGTTCTTTCGAAGTCACGTGTGGAGGAGGATGATATAGCGATCCAATGACATTTATATATAAGGTCTGGGCCAACAAGCAGCTTGCTGGTGTTAGAAGCAAGAAGCTGTCAACATACTGAGAACAGATAGAAATACGTCACTGCTAACAGCTGTTTCGTGTAAAAAGATTTTTTTTTTCCTTTATTTAACGTCGGTCTCTGTTCCGCAATCTAGTGCCAATCACCGACGGACAGCGATTGCCATCCATTGACGGCAATCGAATGTGCAGGAAGGCAGCTTCCACACCTGCGTAGGATATCGCACCCATTCAACACACATGGGCCGGGACCAACGGCTTTACTTCCCTTCCGAAGGAAGACGTGACCAGAGATTGTTATGCCTCAGAAAAATCCCACCGACCTCGGCTGGGATTGAACCCAGACCCATTGGGATGAGAAAGTAGTCACGCTTACCACTACACCACTTATGTATATGCCCAAATTAGGGACACTTAGGCCGACATTACCTGCATTTCCTCTATGTGCCAACTGATTAAAACATAGATCAATGTGACATACGACACCTACACAGAAAAAAAAGTTGTTGAATATTACATCCAAACTACTGCAACCAGGTCAATCCATCGGTTGTATAATATCGAGTATAATATAACGTTGTACGATGTACATCGATTTTGCGAACAAAATTACATCCATTGATGTAATATTGTATCTGCTTTTTGCTATTACATCATTATTTCATACATCAGCTTGAATAACATTGATCGATATTACATTTTTTTTTACTGTGTAACTTCTATAGGGATGTCAAATGTCGTATGTTACAAATTTGGTCCAAGCGTAAAAAGTGTCCATTAATAACATGTGTATTAATAAAACTGCAAATTTAGCAAATCTTCAATATAAACCAGTTGTGGGTGGTATACAAAATGTTAACTTCGCTTTCCGTGAGGTATTACTCATTATAATACATTTTTAACCACTAAAATGCGGACGGTCGTGTTAAATGCACGGCATATATAAAAGGTCGTTTAATATTAATTGGTTGAAAAATGTTTGTTTTTCAACAGGAACACTATCAGTACCTTGCTCAGTCAATAGCAGCACTCCTGAGATGTTAGTTAACCGGAATTTTTAAAGAATGACCTATCTCATTGAAAATAGAAACAATTTTTTGTTCACCAAAACAAAACACCTTGTTTCTCTAATTGACAAACATGTTACAAGTTACAATCAAAAAGGATTCCAGAATTGTAAAAAAGCGTCCGGTCGTTAGCGCTATTAACAACCCTGGTCTTGACATGGCCTTGGAAGTCAGTTTTCTCAGGACTTCTCTTACACATACAGTCAACGCACCACAACTCGATGTGCACTAACTCGATATCGAGTAATAGAACTATAGTAAAAAATAAGTTTCATGGCTACTGCGATGAAGATTTCCTATGAGATTGTTGTTCTATAACTCGATAATTCTCGATGGTCCCTTCAATATCGAGTTGTAGAGAGTTCACTGTAGATACTATATAGACGAGTGCACGGGTGAACTTTTGTTCATCTACTGAATAAAAATTGACACAACAGCGGGGCCCTGTTTACTACAAATGAACACATAAATAACACTCGCATAACATTTGAAAAGGGCCTATCAACTTTTGTACACAAATCTTGTTAAGTACTCTTCGCGCAAACCGAATACGCCCACGCAAACTAACAACACCATCGGGTAGGGGAAATTCTCCCCTTTCCGATAGTGCTCTTGGATTGCGTGGGCGTACTTCGGTTCTGGTAAAAAGGACTTAGCAAGTTGTTCACAAAAGTTGATAGCCCCTTTTCCAATGTTAGGCGAGCATTATTCATGTGTTCATTTTGGTTAAAATTTAACAGATGAAAAGTTATCGATTAACCCTGCTATCCGAGCATGGTTGTTTCTGACGGACAAGAAGTTAAATTTTGACAACCGTGGCTCGAAAACCGGTCGATCGACAGCACGGGGATTTTCGAACATAAGAAATAACTTTCGAAATGTCACTTTTAACCACGAGTAAAATTTAACTCGGCAAATGGTTCACAGCCTAAGGCTGTGTTCCATTTGGTGAATTTTCACTTGAATTTGACACTACAAAAATAAATTAAGATGTTCGAAAATCCCTCTGTTGTCGATCGGCCGAAAATTGATTCCTTGTCTGTCAGAAATAAGTCTGCTTTAATAGCAGGTTTATTTGAAAATATTCCATCTGTCAAATATAAGTAAAAATTCACCAAATGGAACACAGCCTAAGTCGAGGGGCACGCAATTCAAAGAACCGGTGCGTTGAAGTCAAAATGCAATCAAAAGTACTTAAAGTAATTAATGCTTTTTGAAGTAGTACTGACGGTAATTAAAATTATCTATCCGTAGTTAATGTAATTAAAAGTAATGAAAATGTAGTTAAAAAGTAGTTAATGTTCTACATTGTGTAATTAATGTAATTAAAGCAGTAGTTAAAGGAATTAATTTAATTACAGCTGTTGCCTGGGTTGGAGTTAAAGCGGCTATTGATCTGTAATCAATTTGTGTAGGAAATTTCTCTTGAAACAATACAAAACACGCTTCATGAATGAGAGAGAAAAAAAGCCAGGGACAATTTTGAAACTTGACATGACCTGAATTATTCGGAAATGCTGCGTCGTGAAATTGATGTATTTATTTTAAAAATTCAGACTGACCAGTGATTCAAGAAGAGGATTAATTCAGTAAAAACCAGGAAAATCCCATACATTTCTATCACTAATTCATCATCTCTAATACCCCGTTCACAATACAGCGTATATCACGTGATATACGCTGTCTTACAATGAGCACTTATACATCTAGTTTTCACTGGAAATCCTATGTATGAGTGCTCATTGCAAGACAGCCTATATTACATGATATAGGCTGTAATGTGAACAGGGTATAAAGACTAAATAAGATGCTGGACCTTGCATAAATTACAGGACCCTTGGACTGGACTCAATTTTCAGGATACAGTCAAATAGAATCTTTGAAAATTCCAAAGGAATAACTAATAGGTTTTAAAAACTAAAAATAACACCAACATATTTCAGAGCAAATTGCTAAGGAGTTATGGAAACAACTCTAATGGTGGTAAGCTCCAACCGGTATTATCCTCGGATTAAATCCCGATCAAGAATGTCCGGCTGGTTTGATGTCGACATCAGAGTTAATCAACATAATTCTGAGCAAACATTTTTCAGATCATACAAACAGGGACGGTATTAAAAGTTAATCCGAGTTGGAGCTTACCGCCATAAGAGAGTATTGATAAGAACTCCAGGGGAATATGAAGAAAAAGTTCCAAGGTAATTAGGGTTGATGCATATATTATGTCACGCTCTAGGGGGGGGGGTCTAGGATTTTGTGACAAGCAATGCATTAGGAATAGGAAAAACGTCGCGATAGGGGGGGGGGGTGAATTTCTCCTCGATTTAGCGTGACATAATTAATGCATGGGCCCTCATGAGAAATGCTCCATACTAAATTTAAGGCTTTAAGCTTTGAAAGCTGAATTTGTCGGCTATTCTGAGGAAAATTCTATTTTGAGAGGACGACGACTATGTAAAGGATTCCTGGTGCATTTCCAATGAAAATGCCAAGAAGAATGTCTAGAGATAGGGGAAATGTCTCTAATGTTGGCCTATGGATCTAAGATTGGGCCCATCGCTAAAAATCTGCTATTTATCAATTTTATCTAGATGAACGCGTTATTGGGACGGTACTAATGGAGATTTTTGGTTGCTATTGAAAATTTAGTCGATTGCTGAATTTATGTATGGGCCCAAATTATGGACACTTAGGCCGACATTACCTGCATTTCCCCTATCTGATGATAATTTCAAGAAAATTCCATTGGTTTATAGTTCAGAGGATAGTTTCAAAATAATTCACTGGCAAATTCCATGATAATTCTAAAAATAATATCAAATGAATTCTGAAGAGAGGGGCATTTCGCGAAGAATATTGACAGGTTTGAACATAATTCCAAGAGTTTTCTTAGAATAATTAGGGGAAATGCAGGTAATGTCGGCCTAAGTGTCCCTAATTTGGGCCCATACATAAATTCTGCAATCAACTAAATTTTCAATAGCAACGAAAAATATCCATTAGTAACGTCCCAATAACGCGTTCATCTAGATAAAATTGATAAATAGCAGACTTTTAGCGATGGGCCCAAATTAGGGACATGTAGGC